TTAAAATATTCTATTTACACATCCACACTTACGTTCTGCAATCTACAGGCTTGACACCAACCGCCTGTTGGCCATACTCGTGCACATTATTGCGAAACCTCTCCATCAGCTAACGCAAATTTCGAATTTCGGCGATAAATTCTAATGTCGATTCGAACTCGTGCACTTCATCGAAGGGAGGAAATTCGGGATGAGTGTGTGATTTGGGGTAGAGGTAGAGCCTGGGAGGTGGAATGTGAAAGCGCCGCTTCGCGCTCAGATGCAGTTCTGAACTGGATGGAAATCAAAGTAGGTCTGGGTTGGACGGGGTCGCGAAAACTGCGTTTCTGCGTTGCATCTCCTTTTCGTCCTAGGTCTGGCCAGACGAATCGATAGGACCGGGGGCTGCGGTTGCCAAGGCGACCGGGCCATCCCGGACACGGCCCACTGTGGCCCCAGCACGTCCTATATCAGGACCGAAATTAATCCCAAAAACGATGGAACTCCTACCTATTTCAAGGGTTTTTAAAGATGCACAATTCAATGCCATGTTGATGCATTCAGTACAATCTCCATTGAAGATCACAAATTTGGCATCTTTCATATTCTTTATGATAGTGAGAAGTAACTCGAATAACTATGATCATGAGTATTGTACAGTAGATCTCTATCTACAGTAGATATAGTAGTAGATAATCAATTTGCTGCACATCCAGTACCATCCAGGGACCTGTTTCATATAACTGACAAGTTGACAAGTTACAAGTCGACAAGTTACAAGTGTTGGTTGACAAGTATTTAAAAATTTCGTTTCATAAAATAAATTTCGACACTTGTCGATATAAATTTTTGGCATCCGTTTTTCTACAACTGTAATTTTAATTAAACGTCAGACTTAAGCCAAAAAGAAAAAATAGTACTTACTATACTGGGGAGCATAAGTATATCACCACCTTCGTTTTTTGATATTGGGAAACTTTTACTTTGAAATTGTTTTTTTTTTCTGGTTGGAGCTTTTTTTAGATGTGAACCACGACAATTTCGTTTATTGACAAAAAACTTATTTCTAAAATGCAGCAACATTTATTTAATATTCAATTATTTTAATAAAGAAAGGGCATTCTATTTGGAAAATTTAGTCCCACTTCTACAAAAGCTATAAAATGTGAGCATTCGAACGAAAAAAGACAATGCATAATTTCTATACCTTGGTTCTATACATTAGGCGGGGACCAATAGATTTTATTATTTCCTCCATTTTTATCGAATTCATTCGAAATCGTTTAATAAACTCTCATTAAGCTTCCTCCTCACTGTCGCTAGACCACATTTTCTTTTAAATTTACAAGAAAATCGGATGGTGACAGGAAATCAAGTCCCTGTCGCTTTACACTAATATATGATAGGAATAAATGACAAGTGTTGTTTAATTTATTTTTTATGAAACGCAAACCTATCTACAATTGTAAAACAGACTTGTAATATTAGGCTAGTTACTTGTCACTAATAATCTACTCGTGTAATTTTATGAAACACAAACTTGTCAAATACTCCAGTCAAATTTAGACTACACTTGTCCGACAGGACTTGTCATTTATATGAAACAGGCCCCAGAATTGTAATTATTATTAAAAAAAAATTACGAATTAAATTCTATTATATTGTAAAGAAATTCGGTCCGTTTTGCTCCTCAACCCGATCCCGCGTTTATGGCGCATCGAAAATTGTGCAATGGAAAGTTCCAGACGCGCCGAGAAGAGGTGTATCCTTTCCCCAGGTGATCGTTATAGAAACCAGCCGGTCTCCGTACAAACTCCGGTGATTTTTTTTAGCCCATTCGCTCCGTCCGGACGATGCGTTGGTTGCACTTGCAACACGCCCGTGCATCGGTGCACCTGGAACGGAGGGCCCCCGTAGAGGTTCCGGGAATGCTATAATTAGGTCCCGCTTTCGACGGATAGGTGACTGTATTGGCGGGTAATTGCAATTAGTGTGTTTTAATTGAAGAGAAATCCGAGCGTGTCGTGTAGATAGCCAATTAATTTTGCTATGCCATGATGTTTAATTGATCCCAGGTGATTCAAGATAAAACTTTGAAAGCTAGGATAGGGATGGACAAGTTTTTTATATACAAGGACAGTTTTAGAATCATATGAAACTGTTTAAACCCATTTAGAACTCATTGAAGAACTCAGCAAGATCATTAGAAACACTTCAAGATGATATTAAAACTAATGAATTTTCCAAAATCATTTAGAACCGATTCAGGACAATTTGGAACAATAAAGGATAAACCAGAAAAGTACAGAACTATTTAGAACGCTTTCAGGACTATAATTACAACTTTTTTTGGAACTTTTAGAAGACTATTTAGAATTTTTTCATTAAAAAATTGACCAATTTAATGAGATATTCAAGAAAAAAGTAGGGAAACTATATATCTAAAAAAATAACTAAAGTAACTAAAATCTTGTTTCACCTAAACTAAATAATTCAAAATCCTTTCGAATCCTTTTTCCTGCAACAAATCTCTCACCCACTGCGAAGCAGAGCTCGAGCTCCGGCCGGGGTGTAATGTTAATTTTAGAAATCCATCCAGGTAAATATGATGTTCGCGATATTGCGTCATGCGGGAAAAACACCGGGAATTTCCATTAAAATGAAATTACCATAGAAACCATCCAGGCACTTTTCTGCAACTCCCACAGTTTGACGCAAACACAAACCAGCACCATCGATAATGTAGCGCAGGGATAGATAAAAGGCATCCGGGCTGTCGCCAAGCGGTAAATAGTAAATAATGGCACTCGATCAAGGTTATTTTAACATAATTGATAGACTAATTATGAAATGGCGTTAATCGATTTATTAATCAGGTATAATCGTTGACGTAATTAGATTATACTCCGTTCGCAATCAGGGGGTTCAGTTGAAAAATTTTAAAAGTCTTCTACAAAAAAATATCCCAAGTAGTCTTAAAAGCATTCCAAATGGTTCTGCAATTTTTTAGTTCGTCTGGATTGTTTCAAACAGCCCTGAATCGGTTCTAATATCGTCCTGGACTGTTTCAAATAATCTTGAGTCAGTTCTAAAATGGTTATAAAAGACTCTGGACAGTTCTAAAAAGTTTGCTTTAAATATTGATAATGCTGTATACAAATTGATAAGTTAATAGTTTTATTGACGAATTTCATCAGCCAATTCGATTTTGTGTTTGAAAAATACCGCAATTTTTGCCAATCGATAAGTACAAAGTGTGAAATAAAATTTATTAATACGGTCAGTTACTGTAAATGCGACGTGGATTATGCATATTACAATTAAAGCTATTTTTTTGATGATCCCATGCAAATAGCGGTTTCGATACAACTAAAACGCCAAGTATCAACAAGTTCAAAGTCAAATTGGTCTAAAGTCTATCAATTTAACAACGTAACTATCGAATATTTCGTCGATTAAAACCGGTATCATTTCGCGTGGAACCTAATTGGTAAATAAATAAATCCTTCAAACCAATATACAGACCCGATCCGAATAATCGATATTTCAACCGAATTTTTCCGAAAATAATTGACCTTAATCTTTTCCTCTATTCGCTAGTAAAATGATTAGTAGCATCGGTTCCACAACAAGTCCTTATTTGCCGCGTATACTTTCTCGAATTGTGGTCGTTGTCATTGAGGAGCAACTTACCTGATTGGGAAGAACATGCCAACTTCTTCGCTTGCCCTGCCGCTGCAACGAGTTCAAGTCCACGTTTTCGCAAAAGGAGCTGTTCGATACGCCTCTAATCAACTGGCCGGCGTGCTCGAAAACGCCCGGTATCAGTCGCAGTCTATTCGCCGGGCAAATTCCCTGAAACGAAAATTTTGCGATAGTTGGAGGATTATTAGCGAAATTGGTAGATAAAGGATTTTGTTTTTGGGAGAGCTGAATCCTGAAATTGTGTCGCATTTTTTCTGTGGTCGGAATAGGTAGAAAATGCGCTACAGAAATGGTTTTTCGCATTTTTTTTATTAAAAATGAGAAATGTGCTCGTATAATCCTTTAAAATATCGACTAAATTCAGTAAGATATTCTAAAAATTGTGCCTTAAAAGTTGACTAATTTAGTAAAAAATTAAAGAAAAAATCGTCAAATTTGCTTAATAATGTTTAACAACCCTTTAAAATCGACTAATGTAAATAATTACTTTAAAAAATTGTCAAAATATTTTGTAAAATTATCTGTAAACTGGAATAATTTAGCAAAATATTCCATAAAAATCATCAAATTTGTTACTAAATTAAAATCATCTGAAAAATGGACTAACTTAGTAAAATATTCTAAAAATCTTGAAATAACACCTTAAAAGTCGAATAATTAAGTAAAAGATTAAAGAAAATATCGTCAATTTTGTTGGTTAAATGTTTAAAATCCACTAATTTAGTTAAATATTTAAATAAATTGTCAAAATCTTTTGTAAAACCATCTGAAAAATTGACTTTAGCAAAATATTCCATACAAATCATCAAAATTGCTGTAAAATTAACTGATGAAAAATGGACTAATTTAACAAAATATTCTAAAAAATAATGGAATTTTAAAAAGATCCCTGATTCCCTGATTTTACTGATATATTACAAAAACATCATCAAATTTGTGAAAAAAACTGTCATATTTGCTTGTAAAATGCTGAAGAAAATAATATAAACATGATAATAAGATAAACTAGATAAACAGAATAATATAAACAAAATATTATCAAAATCGTTAAATTTGCTTGTAAAATGTTGAAAAATACTACAAACTTAACTAACACCGTAACATTCTAAAAATTCGTTTACATTAAAATATTGAAAAAAAAACACCTTAAAAATCAAATAAAAATTTATGAATGCTAGCGTTCCAAAAAAATGGTATTATATTTGTTTCAGTCAGAACATACATATTTGGAAAATGCTACTGGAACAAATTAGTTCTACAACAGTAGAGTTATCAGTTTTACCAATATAATAAATTGTTAACATAGTCAGACACTTGTAAAGTACACCAATGTAAAGTTACACTCTGAGCACACTAATAAAACGAGTGAATTTCGATTCGTAAAGTTGGCATAACGAAAATCGTCCAAAAGTGACGGGCGTTTCGGTCTATTTAATTCCGCCTATCCTACCGGATGGTTAGAATTTCCGTACAAGTTTTAAGTTTTTGCTTGTCTTCCAAGTCACGTAGAGTAAACAGTTGTATCGAACATGCGCGGTCAGGATGCGGTTATCGGCATGTAATAAATGGCTACCGAAAATCCAGAATGTGACGTGCGACCGAAATGTCCGAATTTGGAAATAGCCCAGCTAAAATTCGCCCTCGGCCTGCCCGAATACAAGGAGGACTGCAAGCTGCGCCAGCAACTCCTCTCCATCATCTACGCCGAAGACATGGGACCCTACTTCCAAATTGTCTGTAACGATCTCAAATGGGACATGGACGTCGAAAAGCACCAACAAATGACGGACCGCAACGAGACCGTCCTCTGCGAAATCGACAAGGAGATCGAGGAGAGCTTGAAGGACCTCGGCGTCACCGAAATGCGAGAACTCTATCTGAAGAAAGCCAATTACCTGTGCAAAATCGGCGACAAAGAGAACGCCCTCAAGGCGCTCGGTCAAGCCTACGACAGCACCATCGCTTTAAAAAACAAACTGGAGAACATCTACCATTGCATCAGGATCGGCCTGTTCTTCATGGACACCTCGCTCGTCAGGCGCAACCTACAACGAGCCGAATCGATGATCGAACAAGGCGCCGATTGGCACAGCCGGAACTGCTTCAAAATCTACAAGGCCTTGTACTCGCTCACCACCAGGGACTTCAAAACCGCCTCGCATCTCCTCGTCAACTCCATATCGACGTTCATCTGCACCGAGCTGCTCTCCTTCGATCTCTTCATCAGCTACACCCTGCTCTCCGCCGTTCTGACGCTGCCGCGCAGCGAGCTCAAGTCCGAGCTGATCCAAAACGCCGACATGCTGCAGGCCCTCTACGACGCGCCCGTCCTCAAGGACTACATGTTCTCGCTCTACGACTGCGACTACAAGGTGTTCTTCTCGAAGCTGGCCGACGTCGAGGTGCTGATGAAGCGCGACATGCTGCTCCATCCGCACTACCAGCACTACGTGCGCGAAATGAAGATCAAGGCCTACGATCAGCTGCTGTCCACCTACATATCGGTGAACATATCGTACATGGGCGAGCAGTTCGGCGTGTCGGAGGAGTACATCGAGGACGAGCTGAGCAAGCTGATCGCGGCCGGCCGGTTGAACTACAAGATCGACAAGATCAGCGGGAAGATCGTCAACGAGCGCAGGGACAGCCAGATGGAGATATTCAAGGCGGTGATCAAGCACGGCGACATCGTCCTCAATCGCATACACAAACTGAGCAGGGTTATTAACATTTGAATATGGTGTATAATGGGATGTTTGTAAGTATGGTGCTCCAGGAACGGTCGCGCCAATAAAAATGTTTACAAAACCCCAGCGCGTTTCTCTGATTTTGGCGTTTATGAGCTGTTTATTGGCTGTTTATTGGCTGGTTATTTGGCGATTATTGGCTAGTTAACTAGCCTTTGTTCTTGAGGCATAAAAATTATGGAGTGTGTTGTGGGTCTACTGCTTAGTTCCCAGAAACTTAAAAATAACTGAAAACAACCTTCACACTGCACGCTAATTTAATACTAATTTTCCAGGGTAACCATTTAATTTTACATAGCAATTTTGTAATAATATATTGATAAAATATTAGGTTTGTTCCTACAACAGTCAGAAATAGCCGGTGGTCGTCAGGGTTCTGCGCAGTAATAATTTAGGCGTTCCAACAAACTCCACAGACATCTCTGATTCTGACTTGGTTAACAATTTATTGTTCCAACAGTTCAAGGGACTGGTTTTGTCATAGTCAGAAAAATTTGCTGATAGTACAGAGATTTAGAATCCGGCGCAAGCGCATTTTTAATTCGGGTTTAATTTGTATTTCTGAATATAGGTTAATTATTAGGTTATGTTGTTTGTTATTTTTGTTTGATATTTGGTTAATATGTAATAAATGTAAAGACTGTTCCATCAAGAAATCGGAAATTTGATTACACCATTCAATCATAAACCGCGCATGCGAAATAGAAGAGTCAGAAACTTATTGGTAACAAATCAGTGACTTTTTGTAGGAACAAACCTATTGTAAGATTGGAAGTTGTGGTCACCTTAATAGACAATTGTTTTGTTCAATTATAAAAGGTATAATTGAGAATATAGACTCTTACCTGTTTGCCTTTCAAGGAACACAGCCACCACCCTTCGAGGTTGGCGGTGTTTTGCTCGAGAACGACGAGAGTCTCGCCCTTGCGGAATTGGAGTTCATCGGCGGTGTCGGGAATGTTGTCGTAAAGGGCTCTAGCTAGGCAATGCTGCAACAAGTCAAATAAATTGCCTTAATAATGCAATTCCGTTCCAAAGAGGTTTTATGGCCTTTTATTTAAGAGAAAGATTAATGATTTTTTAGTGATTTTTTTTGAAGCTTTTTTACAATTTAATTTTTTTAAGAACACCATTTTAAAAATGTAGAGAGAACTTGAGTATTGCGACTTGCTGAATCACCCCGTATATTTTTTTAACGAGGAATTCCCACAAATTTCCAATAAAATGTTATCTTTGGCGGCGAATTAATGGATGCTCTTAAGATGTTTACCAGGTTTTCGGTAACGACATGAAAAATGGGTCGAATTAGCGGCTTCATTATAGAAAAATAAAACCACATGGAGCTGCTTCGGCACTTTTCAACCGCCCTTCGGCAATCGGTAACCCGATATCGGGATTACATGAGAGATTTGTAAGCGGTAAACCGAGTAGGGGATGAACAGAGAAGCTTTTTAAACGCTACATTTCGCCGATTGTGTAAGTGTCGAAATTCGAGTGTACTTTAAAGCAAAATAACTTGTTGAGTGAATGAATTTATTACAAAAAAACTATATTAAACAGCTTTCTTGAATTGCTCTCCATAATAGTTTAATCTTCAAGTCACTATTAATTCACTTATAAGAACTTTTGACTCATTTATGACCGTGATAGTGATCGCCTCGTTCTTCTTCAAATCGTATTAACATTGAAATATGTACAGGTAAATGTAATCTTCAATCACCTAACGGATTAACAGGTATTTGAGTGAATCACCGGCGTCAACCGGACACACAAATTCGCGACTCCTACGCGAAGACAAATCCGTGTGCAATACAATTTATCATTTATTTTTGAAACGCACGCACGACCGATTGCAACAAGTCGATATTTTATTTATTTATTCGTTTACGAGCAAACGTTTAATTCGAATTTTATAACCGCAAAAAAGGGTAGCGCAAATTCCAGTAGCCCACTGGAGGATAAGCCCAGTCGTTAATTGGAAATTATACAGGGAGATTTGTATTAGAATTGATACAAAAAGTAGAAACTCGTCCTGAATATTTTTTCGAAAATTTTTTGAGCTTTACCAGGAGAGCGAGTTCTAGTTTAAAAATTGTGACTTACCCAACATATTTCTAGGAATGTCGTTTTTATCAACTCAGATACATACAAGGATTAGATTTATATCGATAATTTAATAACTAGTAATCTAACCTGTATCGTGAGAAATATCACGTATATTTAAGTATTGTTTCCGTTTTATAATGGACATAATAAACAATAAATGCATTGTTGCCAAATGTTATGTTAAACATTTTATTTTCCCAAATATTCACCAATAACATGCTTAACACATTATTTTAAAGGATGTATAGATTTTAAGTTTTTGTGGTTTTAACAATTACAGTAGTATAGATTTTTTTAAAGATTTTCGTACAATATTGTATAAATGATTATTATAAGTAGAGATGTACATTTTTTTATCAACATTATAGGGTTCTCTTAACATTTTTTTGTGTTTTTTAACACTATTTTCGATCTTATCAGAGACAATTGTCTCGGAAAACCCATCACAAACGGCAACGGCGTACGTCGCATTTACATAAATTATACAGGCTTACTGAAAAAAAGTAGCATATAGCCGGTAAATAAGCTAAAAAAAAAGAGTTACTCGCTATGTTATTTTCGCCATATGACCGTGATGATGACTGCAAACCGGATAGCTCGCCAAGCTGGTCTGCTGTAATATGGCTATAAGCCCGTTCGAACAAGTCGATTCCATTTTATGTTACTTTTTTTATTGTCTAATTGCAAGCTTAATGAACGCACCTTACATACGCGCAATAAAAAGTAGATAAGAGAGATTGTTAATTCAAATGAAACAAAGGACGTTGTTAGAATGCACAGGGTAAATACAAACGATTCAAATACCTACAGAATGTGCATAAAATACAATTTTTGGTTATTAACTTTTATCTGTACTCTAAACTGATGGGTATAAAAGATTAGATATTTTACTCTACTCTACGCTTTACACTACGCTCTACCCTACGCTCTACTCCCAAAAAATGTTTGTTATTTTGATGGGGAATTCCGGTCAAACCATTTTATTAACGATAAAAATATTTTTAAGAGACATTTTCGTGGCGCCGCTGAGTAATGGCTCTAGACATTCCACTCGGCATATTCGCAGGTTTCCAGAAACTTGTCGGAAGATCTGAAAGGTTCTTCGCGTTTCCCACTAACGTCTTTACGCGGTCTGAATATTAAGATACATACCATATGATGTATCTGCGACCGTTCGTCATGGTGTACGTTGCTCGAAAACGAAAAAACGCACGGTTTTCAACTGATATCGAGTCGAAAAAACCACATGTGCGCTTCTATGGTAAATGCCAAGAGCGCTCTCCGTGACCTAACTTAATGGGCTTAGGAGTGTTCCAGATTGACTATCAATTAAGAGATTTGTGGAGATTTGTAATGTAGAGTTTCAGAGTTGAAATTTAATATGCGACTAGCAGTTTACACTGTTTTGATAAGGGGTTTTTTTGAAGCATTTAGAAACGTTCGAGTAGATTAATAGTTTCTTAATCTTATTATTTAATACAACATTGACCTGCCCAATAATATCAATGCAAATACCGTTACATGAGAATGATTTAAGTGGAAAAGAATTCGTTTCTTTTATTCCATGAATATTCATAAGTAATTAATTTATTGGACGTGTTTGCATATCGTTTTGTCGCCGTGGTGCCAGACGAATTTTTCTAAAACGATAAAAGATAGCATTTACAACGCGAACAATAAGGGTCAGTTTGCCATGTACGATTAATAAAGTTAATTTTATATCGTGTCATCGGATTGTGAAACAATAGCGATTGTTAATTAATGCAGTAATATTAAAAAAAATTAATGGCTCATTCCATCAGAATTATGGTTTCTTTAAGTGCGGTTTCGCCGGTCATAAAGCCAAGAGTTGGAATTAAAAAGTATTTTTAATGCGGCGAATTCTTTAAATACCGCTAACATAAGATGTATACCGAAGGAAATGAGGTCGTTAGATTTGATTATAACCTTGTCATTTTTTTCACTTTTTGCCAAAAATGTTGAGAATAGTGAAGTAAAGTAGAGTAGAATAGATAAAGTAAAGTAGAATAGAATAGAGTAATGTAGAGTAAAGAAGAGTAGGGTAGAGCAGAGCAGATGATAAACTTGCGTGTAAAGTTTTTTATTAAAAGGGTTCAAACTGAAAACTAGATAAAAAAGAGAAAAAGTTTGATTGAAAGTTGCTTAAAAAAATCGAAATAACTTATAAAACTACAAATTGAAAAACAAACTTTTACTATTTAAAATATTAATGTTGCGAGTAATTATTTATTTACATATTATGATGATTCACAGGAATACAATTATTAAACAATTTGCGAAGGAGTTTGGGAGTACCCAAAAACAACAATAAAAGGTCGTCAGCATATCGATCGGGTTTACCTTATTCGGCCTTCGATAGAATTTACCAAACACACGACTTTTGCTTACTAAAATGCAAGTATATTGAACTGTTTGTGCGGAAAAACAATGAATCACCTTGGGCACGTTCGAATTGTCTCGAGGAGTGATTTACTCTACCTGCATGGAAAATTCGCAGACCCTGCACTTAGGGTTAGAGCCAATTTGTGATTGTGATTAGACAGATAAAATATGTCTGTTAGATAGTTAAGATTATTTACAACTGGAGACTTTCTTAGAAAGTTTTGGTTTTCACATTTCTGTAATAGTATTTCCATGACTCATTTTTTTTTAAATAGATAATAGGTACAGGTATTAGTACAATTTTATATGCTTTGATAATCCCCCGTAACTCGCTCTTTTTCTTGATGAAAGATGAAAAAATAGGTTTAAAAGTAGGAAGTAAGACAAATTTTACAGTGTAAGGATGAAAATCTAGCACTAAATATATTAAGAAAAATAAAGGAATACATTCCACAAACATTTAGGAATTATCATTATGTATTAAAAATTAATAAAGTACTAAAAATGCATAATCTTAACTGATAGACCTAATATTATAATGAATAATAGTATTTAATATGAAAATAAAATAAACTTCCTATTCAAATATACAAGTAGAAAATACAATTTAACTCATCCAAATGAATTTAAGATAAACAATTAATATTCACATAGATTAAATTTCGAATTATTTCGCAGAATAATGATTTGTAGGCCTAATAGGTAAAAAATACTTTACATTATCTCTGTTATAAGTTATCACCAACAAATGGGATATAGTTAATCCGCACCGTAGTCACATAAACACAAAACAAACAGTCATAAAAGTGCATGAATCCAATAAAAATAGGAAAATTCAATTAAATACCTGTGAAGGAATATCCATGTGATGAGGCATGACACAGGAATGGACCAAAAACAACCCAAAGACGAATTCAACGCATCATTTTGTACAAAAAAACCATTTATGAAACGAACCGAGGAGCACTTAATGCATAAGTCTTCAAAGAAGACTTATCAGTAAACACTTAAACACTAAAATAAAAACGAACTGAAGTGAGCCAAGTAGTTTATAAAAGTAAAAGCGATCTCCGAACGAGATTGACTTGTGTTGTGTTGTAGTGACAGACAGCGGTGACTGCAAGCTTATCAAATTAAAGTCCATAAGTGATAGAGGTGGGGATCGAGGAAGTAACGGTGTGGATGACCTAACTGTAGATCAAACGCTACTCTTCCTGTATGAGGGCTGAATAATCACAGCAACAGAGGCCTAATCTTTTCTAGCTGTTGCTGAATAAAGGATTTTGTTTAGAGGGAATTTACAATTCAAAATCGAAATGGATTTTAAGTTGTATTTGTTGCAATCATAGATTAAATACAAATTTGCACTTATCCATATAAACTCAATTGAAATAATTTTGTATTACAAATATAGGCTCAAATTAAATAAAAATTCTTACATATATTTGACAGATATTTTCCATGCAAATTATCAAAGCTTAATAAAACCTATAAAAACGTTCGTTCAATTATAAAAAAATTGAGAAAATGATATAAAATAAAGAACTTGAAATAATTTAAACTGTTCATTAATACCTAACGGAAAGATTCAGAACACCTAGCAATACATTGTCCACTCTACGTTAAACATTACAACGTACTGTTGAATCTTTTATTTCTTTCCACCTCTCTAACGCTTCTTTCGATTTCAAATCGCCTCAAATCGGTTCGTTCTAGAAAGTCTTGTCTCTCCAAGAATCTGGAAAGTAATTAAAACAATCAAACAAAAACCTACACCTATATTTCAAGTTGCCAAACACCCCTCGAAAGATACTAACCCATCTTTTCCCTTATTGTGAGTCTCCAGCTCTTCCGCAATGTCGTTATCCTTCTTATATCTATCCCAATCTAATTTAGTTTTCTCTAAAGTGCTAATTTTCGATTTCTTCGTGAGCTGACTCAGAACGTTACCGATACCGCTCAGGCCGGTTGAGCTTCGTTTCCTCCTATTATCCGAGTTAGAAGGCTGAGTTTCGCCGAGCAAACGTGCCTCAGCTGAATGCACCGGCACTTCTTTCTCGACTCTCACTTCTTCTCCTGCGAATTCGAATATTTGAGTGACTTTCACTTTATCGGGTTGTTTCTTCGTGGGTTCGGTGGTTTTGGGAGGATTTATTGATGTGGTTGTGGTTTGTTTCGGTTTGGCAGAATCGGGTTCTGTGGAACTTGATTTAGATAGATTTTTCGATTTGAAGCCTGTGTCTTTGACGAAATCGGCCCAAAGGTCGTCTACGTTGCTCTTTTTGTCGTCATCATCTTTATTCTCATTGCTGGTATTCGTAGGGGGCTCATTTCCTTCTAGAAATTCAAATACAATTTATGTTCTTTTATAATTTAGAATATGTAAAAGCGTAAGTGTAGGTATAAAATAAATATCCTAATACTTACTGCTTCCTGTGGCAGGTTTAGAATTTTTACCCTTTTTCTTCGTTTTCCTGGTCTTTTTGGACTTTTCATTTGATTCGTCCTCTGAAATAGGATCGTCTTCGTCGATTTCTGATGGGACTTCGTCCACTTTTTCATCGGGCTTGTAATCTTCATCGCTGGAATCGCTTTCATCTGGTAAATCTTCTATGTTCATGTTGAGGTTATGTTCTGCCGATTTTCCCAATTACAGTAAAACCAAGAATAGTAAATTGGACCACGAAGAATACACAGCACTTTCGTTCACGTAAATGCAAAACGTAGGAGTCAAATTAAATGTCGTCTTTGCTTATTGAAGTTAATTTAATAGCTTACGAATTAAATTACCGACAAAGTGAGATGTTTTTTTTGTAGTTCTGCTTCTGCCTGTCAACAATGTCAAGTCATCTGAAACTGAACTGTCAATGATCAACTCTAAATTTTTATCTCTTTTTTATCAATATAATTTGGAAGTGGTGCAAGTGAATAAGACAATTCATGAATTGATTGATTTCATCAGTTTGACGTGATGTTTATGTTTTTATTGAAATCCTGGTTGCCTATACTTAGCATACGTTAAACAAACATATTTTTACAAGTTTTTCTTATTATTATTATTGTTTAATTTTTGTAATAATTTATAAACCAAGTACTGAGTGCGTTGGTATGTGATAAATTTAAATTAAGTTTAATTAACTCATTAATTCTACAATAACTTAGGTTAACAATACATTAAAAATAATGCTTGTTTTTTATCATAAAATTTGCAATAAGTAATGAGTTTTTATCTAGTTGATTATATTTAACAATCGTACGTAGCTAGAATTTAGAACAAACATTCCGAAATGTACTTATTTACCACAGCATTCTTAGTACTTACGACAAGTACAATCCAATACGTTAGCTCAGATTGTGGATGTAGTACAAACAGAAATACTGATTGCAAAAACGACTTAAATCCCAGTCACAAATACTTAAAAGAATCAAACGAAATCCGCGACAATAATGACGAATTATTCAGTGCATCCAATATGGTGTTTCTGGAAAAATCGACCTTCGAAATGGGAACCAACAAGCCAGTGTTCGAGTCCGATGATGAGGGTCCACTGCGAAATGTCACATTAAATTCATTTTACATAGATAAATACGAGGTATCAAACAGGGAGTTTTATGATTTCGTCAAGGAAACAGGGTATAGGACAGAAGCTGAAATATTCGGTGACAGTTTCCTCTTTGAAATGTGCCTTCCGGAAGAAGATAGAGACAAGTACCAAGACCTCAGGGCCGTACAGGCGCCTTGGTGGATTAAAATGAAAGGGGTGTCTTGGAAACATCCAGAAGGGCCTAATTCTACAATAGAAGGTTTGTATAAATCTCAATAAACCGAAACATTTCACACGAATAACATTTTTGTATGTTTCAGATCTAATGGATCATCCTGTAATACACGTTTCTTGGAATGACGCCGTAAAGTACTGCGATTACAAAGGAAAGAGATTACCAACCGAAGAGGAATGGGAAATGGCTTGCAGAGCTGGCCTCAGACAAAAGCTTTATCCATGGGGAAACAAGCTGACACCTAAAGGCCAGCATTGGTAAAATACAAGAAATTTTTAATCTACAAATGTTACAGTAAAATGCCGAAGCACCGGCATAATCTAGATATGCTTTCCAATGCTCGTACTTCAGCATATGACCATAACATATACAGGGCGTCTACTATAAAAACCGCCAAACTTAGAGTTCTCTATAATTCCACTTGCAGGGCAAACATTTGGCAAGGAGAATTTCCCAAATCGAACACCGCAGAAGACGGGTTCGTATTCACGAGCCCCGTGGACGCGTTCCCGCCGAACAAGTTCGGTTTGTACAACATGGCAGGAAACGTGTGGGAATGGACGCAGGACAATTGGAAAAATGATCCGGTAAGTACGCATCGTTCACTCGAATAAGAACGCTTAATAAATATATAATGTATTTACAACTGAATCGTAACAAAAATATTTTTATTAAAACCGATTTTTTTTCGACATTTTAGGATACGAAAGTTAAAAAAGGCGGATCGTTCTTGTGCCACGAGTCGTACTGTTGGCGGTACCGTTGTGCTGCGAGATCGTCCAATACGAAGGACAGTTCCGCATCTAATTTAGGATTTCGTTGTGCAGCAGACAAAATAAGAAGTTAAGTTTTTTTTTCAAATCGAATCGAAATAACAGAGTTTATACATGCGGAGCATTAGACGTTCCAGTACAGTAATTTTACAAAATTATCAAATTCAAACACCTCATTAGTTCCTAATTTAATAATAAGTACTTAATTAAGGGTCCTGGATAATCGCCGATAATGATCCATTGACCAAAAGGAAATGGGTCCAATATTATTGGAATTCTCATTAGCTACATTCAGTTTGTTCGATTTATACGAAAGTACTTGTACTGATTGGTTCAATCTCCTTTTAGTCAATAGTGTTATCAAATATTTTGACCTATATCCTGCCAAAGAGTCTTCCAGTTTTATATATACATGTACATTTTATGGTAATATAATTGTAATTTATTTGTAATTGTTTGTTTGCAAACCCTAAACCAACAACTAATTTGGAATGTTACTATATAAATAATATATTTTCAAAGCAATTCTCACTTATCTAGTAAATAAATTCATTGCACAGCCTTTTCCTGATTAACACCCTCAAGAGTGTGCTCACATTTTTCTTTATAAAATATTTGAATGTTTTAAAACTTAACGCATTAAACAAAAATTAAAATAACCAATTGAAAAAACGCCCTATTTTTTAGCCTGGGAACAAAACGCATTAAAAAGACTGGCTATTAGATCTAAAAATATTCTTCAAAGTACATTCCAAAAACGCGCATTTTCTAAATCCACTTCGAAACTAAATTGTTTTACTTAAAATCGTTTACACTTAAATTATCCAACCTCATTTTATACTTAATCTAAAGGAATTCTCCACCCTTAAACTAGCTATTAATTTTTGAGCAAAAACCTGAGCACCGTCTTTAAGAAATCTGGGCACCGGGACGTATTTGTACATTAAATAACCGCTGAAAGTCAATAAGGAAATTTTACAAGTTTGTTTAATGACTACAGATGTTAAAGATGGCGGTGGAATTTCTACGAGAGCCTTAATGTATTTATTCTGATCTTCCGGCCACAGCTTGATGATACCCGGTACATGGCCGATACCAACTACTCCTACGATACGAATTGGCTCAGTTTGACCTACAAAAAAAAAGATTATCAATTCAAATATATTGATCACCAGTAACTGAGAAGATTTCCACAACAGTTTTGCCAATATTTTTATTCACTAACTATTTCGATTAATACTTATGCGAATTACCAAGTACATTCTGACTCATTATCCACTTGTTTCAAGGATTTATTAATATTAATTCATAATTTAGCTAATTTTAATATACATTTTTTAATTATTTATAAGTGTATTATGTAATTCACAATTTTCCTACCTTGACCTTGCTTCCATTTCGCTTCGACCGCCAATTGCAATGAATTCGCCAAGAAAACGTCCCTTTCGTCGAGGAAAACTTCGCGAAGGGATGGATACTCTCCCGCCAAATCGGCCAACAATTGCGCCAAAATATCCCTCTCTTTACACTTTTCGATTTCTTCAGCGCTTAATTAGAAACTCGATGTAATACTTCTGATATTATGGCTTCCAAAAAAAAAACTTACCTAACGTGATCCTTCGACGTGAGCAAATGCCAAGTCAATTTCAACGTCTGGAACCAACTCAATTTGGCTAGTGCCCTTTGGAGTGTAATGCCGATCGACCGGTCCCCTAAATGTATATCTGAGGATATTTTCTGAGCCTGGTAAAACAAACGTAAAATTAATTTTTCAATTTTTGAGAATTTAAAATATACCTCATTGTAAGCAACTCGGAATTCACCACCCGGCGCCATACCAATCTCTTTAGTAATGTGTGCGCTCATGTTGAGCAACAGCAAATACATCAAACCGTTATACACCCCATTTGTTCTGATTGTCGATATTATTTTCTGAGCATCTATATTTTTGGCCTCTTGTAATACAGTCTCTTCGTCCAACGACAATATGTTTGTTCTCGAGCTGCACAATTCCAGAACCACCACTTGTGGAAGAACATTCGTTATCACCTAGAAAATCAAGTATGTGTATTCTCACTGTGTTTCACACAAGAGATTAGAGTAATTAAGGATTATTCATTACCTTTACAACGTCTGCTTGGGATTCTTTGCTGAAATGAGCTGTGCCGATGAGGTAAACTTTCGCGCCAGTCTTTTCGTGTTTTAAGAGCGTTACAGTTTTGGGCAGGTTGTTATCGAAGTCATCATCGAGTTCGGATTTGCTGCCCGATGAATCGGCGTCACCGTAGCCCAGTATCTCGATCGGATCGCTCTTGTCGGAGCCTGATCCGTTTTCCGAATCGGGATCAATTTTGACGGTGCTCTCGGTAAGCTCTGGAAATTGTTAAAAGTTGTTGCAGAGTTGAGAGGATAGGCAATATGGAATGATTTTTCGAGAAACGAGCTGTACGCGAGTAGGGGAATCTTACCGAAATTCGATAGGGAACTATCCATTACTGCTGAATTTCTAAATTGTCGTTTCAAAGTGAAAAACTAAAATAAAAAATAAAGTAAACTCTAATCAGATTGAGTTGAGTGGGTCAGTTGATTGATAATTGACACTAGTGACAGGAAATAAGAAAAAATTGTTGACAGCTGTCACTAGTAGTTCAAATGTATTTCTTCTTTGTTACGTTTTAAGTTATATATTACATAATAAAGAATATTTTAATATCTTAAGCATTCATAAAATTTATATATATTAATTTTACATAATAATATATATCCATATTAAATCAAATTAAATGTAATTATGACATAGAGACCTGATCTAGAAGCTCATACAGCCACTTATATGGAATCAAAAATTGTATTGACTTGACATATTCTCGGTGATCAAATTCTTTATTCTTTACCTAACTACTTCAAGGAAAGATCAAGTTAGGTCTCTTGATTTACAAAATTACAAATTGTTCCGTGTTGCTTCCCGATCAATCATTAACAATGGTTAGAGGTATGGTAAGTATTGTCATAGGATTAAGTTATATTTAACATAAATAATCATTTTTTTGTAGATTTCGTTTTTAGTTGGGATATATGCAGGAATATACATTAGTCAAAATTATGAGGTAAGTGGTTGGGTTGGTTTGTTTAATATACAAATATAATAAAAATTATCAGTTGATTACCACTGTATTTGCTTTGCATACATTTTTCAGGTTCCACGAGTAGATGATCCCTCAGCTTTGTACCAAAAAGTTAAGGATTTCGCAGATAAACATAGAAAATCGTAGAACGTACTATTCACTTTTATTTTACCAGTTTAAGACCTACATTATTATAAATAAAAAAGAATTATGCTAGACTTAAGATAATTTTACACCGCCACCTAAATATTCGAGTCGAATCGGGGGCTCCACAAACGCCAGCCAGTCACTCGCGTAAGTAGGCAACAAGCCCATACTGTGGCATTTATACAAAGCCAGCCCTATATTAATAAAGTTGCCCAGAACGTATACTATCATCTGCAAAATGGCACTCGAAGTATCCATCATTTTAAAAGTAGCTTTTGTCGACCAAATCGCCTGCAACGGTCTCATCAACAACATCCCCACCATCATTATCGGGAATATCGATATCGAATTGCCGGCCATGTACATGATGAAGAGGTTCATGGGAACCTGCTTCACAGGGGCCAGGGCCAGGTCCCAAGATTTCTTTGTTATTAGCCGGGACACGTCAGTTTTCTTTGATACTTCGCTGTTGGAACCGATCGTTGAAGAACTGTAGCCAGGAGGCGATGCTAATGGTTCCGATGATATCCGATTTATTCTAAAATAAAAGTTTTTTCGGTGTATTTAATTGCGACTACTAGCCCCCAAGTGATGTGTACTAACCTGACTGAATCGAGGCTCCATTTGGTTCTTCGATTGTGCGATTTGTTGGCCATTTTATTGGGTAGAAGCGAACGTGATCGATGGTTGAATTAATTACTGCTAACGATAAGAAATAAATAAATAATAAATTAAGGTTAATACTACTAAAGGAAGTGAAATTTATTACACCCGACACTACTGACAGTTGACAGTAGTGACAGTGACAAATATTGACGTATGACGTCAAAACTATGTCGTGTTTTCTTCTTGTTTTGAATTTTTTTTATTTTTTTATGAATCATAGGTAGTGATTTTTCTTTATAGAGGAAAATCTATTTAGTACTGACAGGAGATATGATAATTGGAAATAATGGAAATTGTCGTCAAAAAAAGTCTTACGTAAGGCCGGTTTATACGGATTTTCATAGGAATTGATTATTTATAATGTCACTTGTCATCCATACGTTCCTTGATTGGTTGAATGTTGAATTTTCATATGCAGTTTTATTGAAACGCCCCTTAAAATAGTATTTTAAGTGACAACATCGAGTGTGGTAAATACACTATAAATATAAATTTACTGCAAGCCCATTTGATTTTTCTATTGATTTTAAATTAGTGTAAAACGGAATTTAAACGGTAAGTATTCCTTACATTTTCTGTCTGTAAATAACCTGTATGTAGTTAAATAGAGAATTTTTTAATAATAATTTTACCAAGAATCAATCGATAACATTATAATAAGGTATTAATAATTACAAAAAACATGTTTGTTAATGTTTTTTTATCATTAAACATAATTTGGGAATAGCCTGTAAATGTTGCACAAACTATCATTAAGTAACTCCTTTACTTATGATTTCATTTTATCTGGGTTATTCAGTAAATAAAAATAGTCAAACATGAGATCATTAGCTTTTATATACTCGCTGACACACTTGCGAAATGATTTTTATTAAAAATTTTGAAAATTACGTTTTCAGATTACAATGGCGGATCCCGGTTTTCCGAGCCAACACACTACAACAACGACTGTTGAAACATCGAATACAACAGTCACCACTACCATGAGGTTCGATGCAGGTTACATTAAGACGCTACCAGGGATATTGAAATGTGCTCAACTGGTAATAATTTTCTTCCACTATTTACCATGAACCCACAGAGCAGGTGTCATATTTTAACAAATCAATCTAGTTAGCCCGTGCACTAGATTCTCATTCAATAAATTCGACAGATATGCCACTTATTCCGATTATACTCCAATTAACATATAAACATGTTTAAATTTTTAATGAAATTCTATGCAATGTGTTTGTGCTGTCAACAACATACAAAATTTTAAATTGCATTTTTGAAATGATTTTATTCGTAAGAGATATTGATTCATTTTAGTTTGCAATATATGTAGGTTATACAGGGTGTATGGAAAAGAGTGCCACAAAATGAAATGTGGGGTGTTAGTATGGACCAAAATATGCAGAAAATTCTTAATAAACATGTGTCCTAAAATAAGCATTTGGGCTGTAGAGCTATAAAAAAGGTGGCTATTTTAAATGGAAAAAGACCAATATCGTGAGATGTATCGATATTTAAAATAAATTTTGAAAAGAGAATTCAGCAATATCAATATTGTCTTGTCAAATTTGATTTAGCGCCTTATTGGATGAGATATAATCGTTACGTAATTCAATGTGTGACACCTCATTAGAAAGATATATTGATTAGTACTTTAGTGCAATAAATTACCCGGGTATCGCAAAACATCACAACCTTATGTTTTATTAGTTTTCACAGATAAATATGATTAAAGGATAATCTTAGTAATCTTAATAATAATAATAGTAATTTTAATATACAGTGTGTCTACTTAAGTTCGCACCATATGGAAAACTTTTTTATTATTAATTTTACGAAAAAAAGTTATTCTTCATAAAAAGTTCTGCATGTTTTAAAACCTAAAATACAACCATCAGATAACAATTTTTTTAATCCGTATACGAGGTTTGTCAAAAAAATGTATTTTTTGTTAAAGTAAAGTAAAGTAAAGTACCTTTATTTTTGAAAATATCGGAAATTGTTATTAAGAAAAGTTGATCAGGACTAAAAATTACATTTTTTAATGTTTTTATGTAGTCGATAATTATTGTAAAATAAATTATTTTGTTATCATTTATTTCAATGCATAATCGAACTAATGCAACATAGAGGTTAAGAGATGTAAATGTAATCAATTTTTTAACGAATAAAGAGATAACAGATAACAATTTCCAATATTTTCAAAAATAGATTTACTTTACTCTTGAGCAAAATTCATATTTTCTAACAAACCTCGTATACGACTGAAAAAATTAGATATCTGATGATTGTATTTTAGGTTTTAAAACATGCAGAACTTTTTATGAAGAATAACTTTTTTTCGTAAAATTAATAATAAAAAAGTTTTCCATATGGTGCGAACTTAAGTGATTCTACCGACTACAAGTGTGTTTCTATGCCACCAACCCCTATCAGTTTATCACGAGATATCCGATCTCATCCGGCCTGATTACCGGCGTGAATGAAAAACTGCTTATGGTACAGAAACCTTTTGCACTTGCTAAAGTCTATCGACTTATAACCACTGAATTCCGGTAGGATCCGACCGTCACACCAGTGGCAAGGCTGATACCTTAACCAACTGGGATGCCCGGCCGGGCAAATTGTTATCTGTTATCTCTTTATTGGTTAAAAATTTGATTACATTTACATCTCTTAACCTCTACGTTGCATTAGTTTGATTATGCATTGAAATAAATGATAACAAAATAACTTATTTCATAATAATTATCGACTACATAAAAACATTACTAGGTGTTGATAGTTTAAAGAAGAAAAATAGATTACTTACTTATAATTGGATGTAATTACATATTTGAACGTAATTTTTAGTCCTGATCAACTTTTCTTAATAATTATGGTGGTAAAGTACCTTTATTTTTGAAAATATTGGAAATTGTTATTAAAGAAAAGTTGATCGGGACTAAAAATTACGTTCAAATATGTAATTACATCCAATTATTATCTTACTTTACTTTTGAGCAAAATTCATATTTTCTGACAAACCTCGTATACGACTGAAAAAATTAGATATCTGATGATTGTATTTTAGGTTTTAAAACATGCAGAACTTTTTATGAAGAATAACTTTTTTTCGTAAAATTAATAATAAAAAAGTTTTCCATATGGTGCGAACTTAAGTGATTCTACCGACTACAAGTGTGTTTCTGTGCCACCAACCCCTATCAGTTTATCACGAGATATCCGATCTCATCCGGCCTGATTACCGGCGTGAATGAAAAACTGCTTATGGTACAGAAACCTTTTGCACTTGCTAAAGTCTATCGACTTATAACCACTGAATTCCGGTAGGATCCGACCGTCACACCAGTGGCAAGGCTGATACCTTAACCAACTGGGATGCCCGGCCAGGCAAATTGGTTTCTGTTATCTCTTTATTGGTTAAAAATTTGATTACATTTACATCTCTTAACCTCTACGTTGCATTAGTTTGATTATGCATTGAAATAAATGATAACAAAATAACTTATTTCACAATAATTATCGACTACATAAAAACATTACTAGATGTTGATAGTTTAAAGAAGAAAAATAGATTACTTACTTATAATTGGATGTAATTACATATTTGAACGTAATTTTTAGTCCTGATCAACTTTTCTTAATAATTATGGTGGTAAAGTACCTTTATTTTTGAAAATATTGGAAATTGTTATTAAAGAAAAGTTGATCGGGACTAAAAATTACGTTCAAATATGTAATTACATCCAATTATTATCTTACTTTACTTTTGAGCAAAATTCATATTTTCTGACAAACCTCGTATACGACTGAAAAAATTAGATATCTGATGATTGTATTTTAGGTTTTAAAACATGCAGAACTTTTTATGAAGAATAACTTTTTTTCGTAAAATTAATAATAAAAAAGTTTTCCATATGGTGCGAACTTAAGTAGACACACTGTATACTTCATTTAAATGCATTTTCAAATAATTTATTCTTTCTCTATGCAGGTAACGTTTCTGAAATTATAAAATTATCCTCTAAAAATAAAAATTATTTAGATAGATACCTGAATTGTTGTTATTGGAACCAAGCTTATTTTAAATTAGACGCAAGTGCACCAATTCGTGGAATTTTGTCATTATAAACTTGTCTTTAAATACTTTTAACTGTACAATTTTATACAATTCCGATATATTTAAATATGTAGATATGTAAATAATTTAGAATAAATTGTATTTGTCCCATTTAATTAGATTTTTTTAAAAGTAGTTGTAATTGTAATAAATGATCTACATAAAAAAAAAGGAGTTGTAACATCACTGCTTGGTTCCGAGTTGTTGTAAAGTCTAGCTTTACACCATCTACGAGGTTGACATTCCTTTATTCTTATCTTAGATTTCTCAGGGTATTTTGCTTATTTGTTAATACGTAAAGTCCATAAGTTGTAATTTCTCACTCAGCAACTCGATAGTTTTGCTGAGTTCTCTTTTGGCCGAGTTACTGTAGTTCTTCAGGGAAGAAGTAAGCACTTTTTTTTTAATAATTTGATTGGTTAAAACATAAGAGTTGTCGCTTCGCTATTGGCGAAAATGCCATAAAACTAGCGTCGGTCACATGACTGAAAAAGTTAATAAATAAGAGAGAACTCAGGAAAACCGGGGAGAACGAATTCGAATTTTGTAACATAAACGTGTCGATTTGAACCTCTTCTGTAAGCTGATAATTTTTGGGAACTGGAATAAAACAAATTGGAGGATTTCGGAGTTTTAGTGTTCGTCCTAACTAGATATTCCCTACAGAGTATTGGGGCTTTCACCGGTACGTTTCGCTTCAGCGCGAATATTTATGCGAGTATATTTATATTACTATCTCTATTTCTTGTTTTTACAACGAAACCGGCCTTTAATTGTAACATTGTGTTAAGTTAGGTTGGGTTAAACAACACACTTTGAGCTCCCCTACACGCCCCTGCTCTGTATCGGGTTATATGCGGGACACCCTGTATTGCAGCGTGTGAAACCGCTCTTAAGGTACCACTGGTACCAGAGATGATTTGATCAACAAAGCAACGATTCGTTTTAGTTGTTAAATCTGCTGGGATTCATCTGCATCCTATGCAGCGGCATTTGGGCCAACCACACTAGAGGATCCTTCTTCAATTTCGTATCGATGTTCGCATTTTGGTTTACGGCCATATTGCTCGTGCTGTACCTGTTCCACATTGTAGAGAAACTGTACAGGATTCCGTGGATGAAAATCGAGTTCGTATTTTGCGCCGTTTGGACCGGTTTCTATCTGATCGCGTCTTCCCTGGCTGTATCTTTTTCACACATCGAAGGGTTCGTGGCCGCTGGGGTATGTATTTCAATTGTTCCTTGTAGTTTAATAAATTGTTTATTTTTTTTGTAGTTTTTCGGTTTTTGCGCCATGATTGCGTACGGATTCGATGCTTTCCTGAAGTACAGAGGCATTAAATTGGGACAGCTCGCGCAAGGGGAACGAGTAGTTACCTCCAACAAGCAAACTAACATAGGCTGGAGTACCAGCCCAGCTTATTAATAAAATTGGTTAAGTTTTCAATAGATTTTCACCTGTAAATTACAAAATTCACTCGACTTTCTGCATCGGTACTTACATATAGGTTAAACTTTATCATTCTATTTATACAGTATGTAAACTCGAGGGCAGCTAACAAATTTAATAAAATGGAATAATGAAGCATATATTTATCTATGAGAAAGAGAATATATTCTCTCCTATTTAATTCTGCTTTTGTTTAGCTAACGAATTTAGTATTTGCCATATCGAGATATAACCGCCCGGGATTTTCATACTGTATATTATTGCATTTTTAAGCTTTACGTCAGTGTTTTAAACATTTAAGGATACACGAGTGTAAATGCATCAAGATATGGTTTTATTTGAAATGGTATATTAATCGGAGTAATTATTTTTTGCAAATTATCTAACAGTGGGATAGGGATACAAAGACAGCATTGCACCAAATAAGGCCTATCGAAACTCAGTGCATTAGAATTAGGATTAAGATCAATTTAAGTGGTTTTTCACTTGTATTGGGAAATTGCGAACTTAAAAGCGCATTTTAGTCGTTTCCTAATATAACAGAGTTGTAAAGTAAATATTTGTCTTTAAAATGTTATTGTTTGAATTAAGCTAATTATACTCGAATTGTTTATTAATAAGCTTTAATTACTAAATTTTATTTTTAAAAAGGGCAGTTCAGGGAATTATTTGTTAAGACTGTTTGGATTAAAACTGTTTATTGGTTTTTAAAAAAATGTATTAAACTGCACTCGAAAATATATTTTATAGTATACACATTTTACAAAACACCACATGGGAGTATAAAAAATATTATTATTATAACAGTATTTTTGTAACAATTGTACTAAAACAAAGTTTATTGTATTTTACTTCTAAAATAATACCAAATTTATTTCGAAATTTGTGAACTTCTAATCAAATTAGGTGTTTTACAGTTCACATATTTTAATCAGGACCATCCGAAAGTGTAATTATTCTTACCAATAAATTTTATGAATTAGTAATTCGTGTTACTGTTACATTAACTGTGTAAAAGGTGATTTAAATAAATTAAAACATGATTATTTAACCTCCCCAAGTCAGCCTTTGGACGTGATCAGTCTTTCGCTTGGAACTCTTGATGAATCCCAAAAATTCTAATTCAGACACAGCCTGAGTAAAACGAGCTCTATCGCTGTTATTAAGGAATATATTGTTATTTTTAAGGGTAACAACAAATAATATTTAGTGTTAAAAGGATACTGCATTTCGGGTCTAACGACCATTTGCTCATCTCCCATATAAACTTCCGCATCTACAATACTAACAAACGATTGAAGCCAATCGTACAAATTAATCATTTTGCCATATTCCAAGTGAAGTTTATAAGCAACGCAAACATCTGGCATGGTAGGTTTGATGGACCCGATATTTGACAGTTTACAGCAATCGCACTGAAAATTACAAAAGTTGACCATTTTCAAAAGAAGGCGTATTTAAAAAATATACCGTTAAGTAAAAGTGGGGATCGTTTAGAGCGTGATGTATGGCAGATCTGTGAGAACCGACTATGTAATTTTTGATGGATATGTTGTTGTAGAAAAATATTTCATGCAAAAAGTTTGATTCAGGTTCTGTTAAATAGTGTTCAAAAGCTCCCGAAAGCGTCTTAACAATTTCCTCTCGCAGGTGTTCGTATTTATTCAAAGCTTTAGTCGGAGTTTTAGCCAATTCGTGAAGCATCTGCAATAGAATAACAGTTAATTTTAATTCGACTTTTGTGTAACTTTAAAAATTTACTTCTTTAAATTGCCACCTGTTGGAAGACTTTAATTGCACAGATTTATCTCCTGGTTTGCTTTGCTCTTCTGGCATTTTGTATTCATCGATGTTGTTGAGATAATCAATGTATTGTTTAAGGGATGATAGCAAATCATCATCGATGAAATCAATAGGTTCTAGTACATCAATTATCTTTGATAACTTTCTAGTAAGTTCGTCTTTCGATTGAAAGTTAAGAAGCTTCATACATTCTTGGTAATCATTTGTCTTTGTGACATTTTCAGAGGTCGCAATAGCGTATAATACTCTCATCTAGAAGAAAAATCTTGTATTTTTATACACTGTGTTATTTATAAGATGCGACATAGGGATTCCTGTACAAATGTGTCAAAAGCAAGCTAACTTTTTTACCAAATAACGTTCATAAAAAATAATAACAGATTTGAAAAGATCGTAAAAAAATAAGTCGAAATGGACATTACATTTTCTTAAATTCATTCTGGTTTATTAAAAAATTGTATAATTAAGTTGAAAAAGTCATCCGTCATAAATAATTCCTTTTTATAACACTATCTAATTTTTTGCAAAAGGGGTGGAGCTAACAGAGATGGTTAACGCTCTGCAATTTGAATAATTAATTCTTAAGTAATGTGGTTCAAACCGCGCTTGGGGCAAAGTTTTTTTTTGTTTTTTTTTTTCGTTTTTTTAATGTTTTTGTCTAAAAAAATGTTAAATAAAAGTATTTAAAATAAGACAAGCTTATTTGAGATTTAATTTTATTTTTATTTAAATAAAAGCTCCGACAATTAATTGTCAATTTTGATAATGCAAAATCTCGTTAGTAAGTAGAGCCTTTAAATTAATGCCATATTTTTATTAATGACAAAAAAAACATTAAAAAAAACAAAAATACCAAAAAAAAACAGAAAAAAAATTCCGCACTCGCGGTTTGAACCACAATCCTTCACCTCGAAATGTTCAAATTTCAGAGCGTCAACCAACCCTGTTAGCTCCGCCCCTTTTTACATTAATTAGATAGTGTTATAAAAAGGAATTATTTATGTCGTATGACTTTTTCAACTTAATTATACATTTTTTTAATAAACCAGAATGAATTTAAGAAAATGTAATGTCCATTTCGACTTATTTTTTTACGATCTTTTCAAATCTGTTATTATTTTTTATGAACGTTATTTGGTAAAAAAGTTAGCTTGCTTTTGACACATTTGTACAGGAATCCCTATGTCGCATCTTATAAATAACACAGTGTATAAAACGTATGTAACTATAATTTTTACCTGTTTACCTAAAGGAGCTTTGGGCAAATCCTCAACGAGTACCAACAAGCACTTTAAAAATACATGAAAAGTTTTGATGTAAACCTGCGTTCTACGAATTTCTTTGCGTACTATTTTACCTAAATACTCATCATCCAGCACCATTTTTATTTGCTTGTCTTGTCCTTCATTTTCCAGGAACTTTTTGAACGATGGCAACTGCCACAACATTTTCAAATCATCATGGGACAGTTCCTTAATGGCGCTTTTCACAACATCCGGCTCGAGGCTGCACAAAGTCATTATATTTCCCCGAGCAAAATGATCTGCCACAGCGAACTGAAAAACAAGAAGCTACAATAAATCAGTTTACAAGCAGCTTGGAGTTACTTCATACTTTGATGTTTTGTATGAAGTTGTTCACCGACAAATCGTAGAACAGGAACAAATCTGAGAACAAATTGAAAACGTTGCCCCCTAGTTGAAACGGGCATTTGAAAAACACCTCTTCCAATATGATGTTCAGGTATTCGACTGAGCTTTGAGAATGGAAAACTTTCACTCTAATTTTCGAAAATACTTTGTACGACAAAGATTTGTGCAAAGTGTTGATGTTTGTAGCGATGCCGAACACAAGTACAAATGGCAGATATTTAATGTAGCAGCTTATTATTATTATGAATTTCTTTAGTATCTCTATGTTGAAGCCCTCGAAATCAGGTATTATTATTACGAGAGGTTTTTTCTTTTCTGCTTTTTTATACTTGTTCTCGTACCAACATTGGAGATAGGGAAGGGTCAGCAGGTTCTTTTTTATTTGCTTGTGTTGCGATTCATCTTCTAGATCCTGAAAAAATTTAAGCTACGATAACTCACTTAATTTAATATAAATATTAAATTACTTTTTGTGATTGGGGAAGTTAGGACAAGAGAAATAGTAGTTTGAAATAGCCTATTAAAAAATAACCCCTTAACTCCACCCGTAATGAACCTACATCTTCACATTCGATGTCTTCAATGACAAATTGTTTGATCAAATTTTCTATTAAATTTTTAATACTTTGGCCGTCTTCGCTTTGTAAATAGGCCACATGAGGAGTTGTGGTTTTCTTGAGTTGACTGGAGAGATTTTCGAATTGTGTCATGTGGTCCGGCATATTTATACCGGTGAAGAAAGCAGCTGTTGGGATTTCTTCGTTTTCACTTTGACAGGTACTTGATTTAATGAAGTCCAGCAAGTTGATCAGTACCGATGAAAATATCGTATCATTAAGTTCCTAAAAAGACACCATTATATAAAAAGTAGGCTATGCAGCTAGTGAAATAAATGAAATTACTTGTCAATTTTGACATGCAAAAGTGACAGTAGCGAGAAATATTTTCTATTTATTAATAAATTAAGTTAATTAGTACTTACTTGAATTTTAGTTTGGATATCCTCCCATAACGTAGAATAATACGAGTACCAGGCATTGGATGAAAATAGGGTATTTTCTACCGGCTTTCGTTTACTTCTGGATTTGCTGGACTTTCTCGAAGGCGGTTTAAAATTATTTTTGAATACAAATACACCCTATAAAGAAATGTAACAATTAATTGATGAATTATTTAAAAATAGGTTAGGACAAATAAAATGACTTACTTTGGACACAGACGATGCATGATCGTCTTCCATACTTTCTGTTTACACTAATTAATGTTCAAAAAATGTATTATTATGTAACACGAATGGAAAATGAGTAAGAATACACAAAAAAGTAACAGTATTATTGTTGAAAAGTTTCCCGCCATATAATAGACCTATTCAGTTTACGAAAGAGAGTGATGGAGTTATTTGATCAACATAAGAGAATAAAAGAAACAAATATGTTTCACGCGCAATCTGTGGAACCATTTAAAATCTGCGCAAACATAAGTGCAAGAGAGATGAGATATTTGGCCTATTTCTTTGCTGATTGACAGACACATTGAATGATTCTTAGATGAAAACTGTTTTAAATTTTAAAAATAAGAGACCAACTTCAATCTTAACCCTATTTTGTTTCCGTTTGATGTTTGTTTATGTTCAGTGTGTATTATTTTTTAACAGTATTTCTTTGTATTATTTAGTATATTTATTTATAAAGGTAATAATTTTTTGTATAGGTCAATGGGATTATTTTTTTGAAATATATATTATAGCAAACCGATCAAAAAGCATTTTCGGAAACTTTGTACTAACCCTCTTACTCTTTCTTAGACTTGTACGTAAATATTAAGCCTATAACCCCTTTCTGGGCAGTAAAAACAAATTTGTATCGAGTCACCGCGTCCATTAAATCCGACGGATTGTTGGATAATGACAAATGACGTCTTCAGTTGTCGTTGTCTGGTTGTCAGAACCGTATTTTACCTGAGGTGCGTTCGTTTGTTCGTTTAGATGTCCAGCTAATTGTCCACAGTATGCGCGCGCAGCACAGGTTAAACTGAATAGGTCTATTAGTTTTTGACATTAAGAGGGGCGTTGAGATTTGGTAACCCAATTTCAGTTGGCAGCAATGAAAATGAGCCCGATTTTTCGGTGTACAAATCTCAAATTTTACTTAATTTTGAGATATAATATGAATCGCATCTGATAGAGTGAACCTTCCTGTAGGTCATAAAGGTTTTTTTTACAGATCTATGCAAAAATAACGAAATTACAAGCGTTTGAAAGTGGACATTTTTCAGTTTTTTTTTTCTATCGGACGATAACCAAAATCCTTTATGACCTAGCGAGGGGTAATAGAAATGTATTGTGAAAATTTGGAAACGATATTCTTTATATTTTTTGAGATTTGTACACCGAAAAGTCTGGATTTTGGAAAAAACTTCATCGATTTGCCGCTAGGGGATACCGAAAATGATATGTTGGTAATGTGTGTTGCATACGCTCAACGAGATATGAGCTTTAGGAAGATAAAATAAGGGTTATTTATGAATATACGATATATGTGCACTTCACAAAGCACACTGTTTTTATTATAATAAACAAATTTAGGAGAATTGAGGAAATTCAAGTGAAAATTTATTGTAAGTGTCATTGCTGCCAACAAAATAGAGTATTTGACGTAATAGACATGACATAAGACATAAGACAAGATGTCAAATTGATTTTTAGGAGGTTATATTTACGTTACCATATTTACATTTGTTATATTATACTTTATCGAGTTATTACTTTGTAGTTGCAATTGAAATTGCAATATACAAACAATAATTAATTATGAAGATACGTTATTATATTTGGATATCATGCATTTATTAATTATTTTGTAAAACAATATTCGAAGATTGAGAAGACTAGAATGAAATCAAAATTTATCACAGCGTGCACTATTAGGTATATTTTTCATATTCATCATTGGCATACAAATTTAGTATTGTATTTTTTCTTTTCCAACTTTACACTTATCAGTTATTAGATATGATATGACTTACGTTCAATTCAACTATCATGCTAAACTTGTTGTACCTGTAAGGAAAAGAATTCAAACATTTCATTTGTGTAAATATGTTTATTTTAATACTACTTTAACAATTTTGATATACAAGTTGATATACAAGTTTCATCGGTCCACTTTTCTTCTCTTCTTCTATCTTCGGAATATAATGTTTTATCGGGTATCTCATAGGGCAGTTTGATAATCAAATATATACTTGAAAATGGCCCTGCACAGGTCCCCACCCAAGTCCTACGACCCCAGAGTGGCTGTAGTAGAACTATTTCACTTACAAATTCATCAGTGCCATTGTCATTTTCGGAGTGTGTGTTCGGAGCACTTATTGTTGCATCGGGCATCCCATAGGGCAGGTTGTTGATTAAATTTATGCTTGAAAATAGTCCTGCACAGGTCCCCACCCAAGTTCTACGACCCAGAGTGGCTGTACTAGAACTATTTCATTTAGGTCCAGTTGCTCGTATGCGGATCAAAGTCGTATCAACTGATCTCGAATCAAAGTCGGATCAATAGTTAGTCCTGGAAAAGGGCGGCCATATTTGATCCCGATTTAATCTCGGCTTAATCCCGGATCATAATTGATCCGCGTATGAGCAACCGGGCCTTACAATTTCATCGGAGGCATTGTCATTATCGGAGTGTGTGTTCGGAGTACTTATTGTATCGGGCATTTATCAATATATTCGATCGTAGAATCGCATCTCCCATTTTGTCGCCTGCACGTACTTTTGCAATATTACATAGGTACACAATACAATACAGGGTGTTCCAATAAAAAGTACCCCCTTTAATTAGCTAATAATTTTAAAACGCCTAATCATAAAAACATGCGGTTTTCTCAAATATATTTTATTTTATTATAAGTTTTGTTACAGTGATACAGAAATTATGCATTAACAATACATGGTGTTTTATCAAAACCTCCTTTTAAATTCACAGTAACCAAATTAATTTAAATGGAACATCCCGTATATACAGAGGTATTTTAAAAGATACACTCTTCTACTTTTCAAAAATATATTATTTGTAGATATTATTCTACAAAAGAAGACGTCCTATTTCATAAAATTTAGTTATTGCGAATTTAAAAGAGGGGTTTTTTTATGAAACATCCTGTGCAGGCGATACAAAATTTTTGTCCCACTGCAACAAAAAGTTATAGAAAAATAAATAATATATTTGTCAAAACCGCATGTTTTATCATCATTAGGCGTTTAAAAAATATTAGCTCACTAAAGGGGCTACTTTTCATTGGGACACCCTGTATTTTAATGAACACTATCATAATTACATGATTTTTATATAAATAGTAATATAGGTACCACTCGACAAAGACTGGTCTTTCTAGCAATGATTGTACGTCTATTATTAATCTTTGTAATTAATTATAAAAATTAATTAATAAAATGTTTCAAATTTACATCATTACATTACATTATATTTACATCATCGTTATATTCATTACATTATAGTTTACAAAGTTTGCAATAAGAAATTGAAATATAATTAACTAATAAACTATATAATATTTATATAGTCATTGATATTTGAATTAAAATTTGCAAATTAATATACCTTCTTATACATATATCAAAAATGAAATTTGCAAATTCTAAAAGCAAAAATGCATCTTCGCTGCTACAAAAATAGAGAGAATATTCGCCAGAGTGTTAGGGGTCGAAAACGATTAGACGGACAATCATAAACGGCTACCTGCTTATGCAAATTTACTTTATTTACAATGCGACGATAACAATACATTTACTTTGAAAATAGTCTCTTAGATCCACTGCACTTGCGCCACCTGTTAGAACATTTTCTGAAATATCACTGGTTAAAAACCTGGCTAAAAATTTAAATTTGAGACATGAGTTAATGAAACTACAAAAAATTACTAGATTCTAGGGGCGATTGGTACGACTGATGAAGTGCTCAACGCCCCTCTTAAGTTCGCACCATATGAAAAACTTTTTTATTATTAATTTTACGAAAAAAAGTTATTCTTCATAAAAAGTTCTGCATGTTTTAAAACCTAAAATACAACCATCAGATAACAATTTTTTTAATCCGTATACGAGGTTTGTCAAAAAAATGTATTTTTTGCTTAAGAGTAAAGTACCTTTATTTTTGAAAATATCGGAAATTGTTATTAAGAAAAGTTGATCAAGACTAAAAATTACATTTTTTAATGTTTTTATGTAGTCGATAATTATTGTAAAATAAATTATTTTGTTATCATTTATTTCAATGCATAATCGAACTAATGCAACATAGAGGTTAAGAGATGTAAATGTAATCAATTTTTTAACGAATAAAGAGATAACAGATAACAATTTCCAATATTTTCAAAAATAGATTTACTTTACTCTTGAGCAAAATTCATATTTTCTAACAAACCTCGTATACGACTGAAAAAATTAGATAACTGATGATTGTATTTTAGGTTTTAAAACATGCAGAACTTTTTATGAAGAATAACTTTTTTTCGTAAAATTAATAATAAAAAAGTTTTCCATATGGTACGAACTTAAGTGATTCTACCGACTACAAGTGTGTTTCTGTGCCACCAACCCCTATCAGTTTATCACGAGATATCCGATCTCATCCGGCCTGATTACCGGCGTGAATGAAAAACTGCTTATGGTACAGAAACCTTTTACACTTGCTAAAGTCTATCGACTTATAACCACTGAATTCCGGTAGGATCCGACCGTCACACCAGTGGCAAGGCTGATACCTTAACCAACTGGACTGCACGGCCAGGCAAATTGGTTTCTGTTATCTCTTTATTGGTTAAAAATTTGATTACATTTACATCTCTTAACCTCTACGTTGCATTAGTTTGATTATGCATTGAAATAAATGATAACAAAATAACTTATTTCACAATAATTATCGACTACATAAAAACATTACTAGATGTTGATAGTTTAAAGAAGAAAAATAGATTACTTACTTATAATTGGATGTAATTACATATTTGAACGTAATTTTTAGTCCTGATCAACTTTTCTTAATAATTATGGTGGTAAAGTACCTTTATTTTTGAAAATATTGGAAATTGTTATTAAAGAAAAGTTGATCGGGACTAAAAATTACGTTCAAATATGTAATTACATCCAATTATTATCTTACTTTACTTTTGAGCAAAATTCATATTTTCTGACAAACCTCGTATACGACTGAAAAAATTAGATATCTGATGATTGTATTTTAGGTTTTAAAACATGCAGAACTTTTTATGAAGAATAACTTTTTTTCGTAAAATTAATAATAAAAAAGTTTTCCATATGGTGCGAACTTAAGTAGACACACTGTATACTTCATTTAAATGCATTTTCAAATAATTTATTCTTTCTCTATGCAGGTAACGTTTCTGAAATTATAAAATTATCCTCTAAAAATAAAAATTATTTAGATAGATACCTGAATTGTTGTTATTGGAACCAAGCTTATTTTAAATTAGACGCAAGTGCACCAATTCGTGGAATTTTGTCATTATAAACTTGTCTTTAAATACTTTTAACTGTACAATTTTATACAATTCCGATATATTTAAATATGTAGATATGTAAATAATTTAGAATAAATTGTATTTGTCCCATTTAATTAGATTTTTTTAAAAGTAGTTGTAATTGTAATAAATGATCTACATAAAAAAAAAGGAGTTGTAACATCACTGCTTGGTTCCGAGTTGTTGTAAAGTCTAGCTTTACACCATCTACGAGGTTGACATTCCTTTATTCTTATCTTAGATTTCTCAGGGTATTTTGCTTATTTGTTAATACGTAAAGTCCATAAGTTGTAATTTCTCACGTGTCGTTCTGGTTGGAAATATTTGAAACATGAATATTTAATAATATTGTTTTACATCATTGTTTTAATTTACGCAACTCGATAGTTTTGCTCAGTTCTCTTTTGGCCGAGTTACTGTAGTTCTTCAGGGAAGAAGTAAGCACTTTTTTTGAATAATTTGATTGGTTAAAACATAAGAGTTGTCGCTTCGCTATTGGCGAAAATGCCATAAAACTAGCGTCGGTCACATGATTGAAAAAGTTAATAAATAAGAGAGAACTCAGGAAAACCGGGGAGAACGAATTCGAATTTTGTAACATAAACGTGTCGATTTGAACCTCTTCTGTAAGCTGATAATTTTTGGGAACTGGAATAAAACAAATTGGAGGATTTCGGAGTTTTAGTGTTCGTCCTAACTAGATATTCCCTACAGAGTATTGGGGCTTTCACCGGTACGTTTCGCTTCAGCGCGAATATTTATGCGAGTATATTTATATTACTATCTCTATTTCTTGTTTTTACAACGAAACCGGCCTTTAATTGTAACATTGTGTTAAGTTAGGTTGGGTTAAACAACACACTTTGAGCTCCCCTACACGCCCCTGCTCTGTATCGGGTTATATGCGGGACACCCTGTATTGCAGCGTGTGAAACCGCTCTTAAGGTACCACTGGTACCAGAGATGATTTGATCAACAAAGCAACGATTCGTTTTAGTTGTTAAATCTGCTGGGATTCATCTGCATCCTATGCAGCGGCATTTGGGCCAACCACACTAGAGGATCCTTCTTCAATTTCGTATCGATGTTCGCATTTTGGTTTACGGCCATATTGCTCGTGCTGTACCTGTTCCACATTGTAGAGAAACTGTACAGGATTCCGTGGATGAAAATCGAGTTCGTATTTTGCGCCGTTTGGACCGGTTTCTATCTGATCGCGTCTTCCCTGGCTGTATCTTTTTCACACATCGAAGGGTTCGTGGCCGCTGGGGTATGTATTTCAATTGTTCCTTGTAGTTTAATAAATTGTTTATTTTTTTTGTAGTTTTTCGGTTTTTGCGCCATGATTGCGTACGGATTCGATGCTTTCCTGAAGTACAGAGGCATTAAATTGGGACAGCTCGCGCAAGGGGAACGAGTAGTTACCTCCAACAAGCAAACTAACATAGGCTGGAGTACCAGCCCAGCTTATTAATAAAATTGGTTAAGTTTTCAATAGATTTTCACCTGTAAATTACAAAATTCACTCGACTTTCTGCATCGGTACTTACATATAGGTTAAACTTTATCATTCTATTTATACAGTATGTAAACTCGAGGGCAGCTAACAAATTTAATAAAATGGAATAATGAAGCATATATTTATCTATGAGAAAGAGAATATATTCTCTCCTATTTAATTCTGCTTTTGTTTAGCTAACGAATTTAGTATTTGCCATATCGAGATATAACCGCCCGGGATTTTCATACTGTATATTATTGCATTTTTAAGCTTTACGTCAGTGTTTTAAACATTTAAGGATACACGAGTGTAAATGCATCAAGATATGGTTTTATTTGAAATGGTATATTAATCGGAGTAATTATTTTTTGCAAATTATCTAACAGTGGGATAGGGATACAAAGACAGCATTGCACCAAATAAGGCCTATCGAAACTCAGTGCATTAGAATTAGGATTAAGATCAATTTAAGTGGTTTTTCACTTGTATTGGGAAATTGCGAACTTAAAAGCGCATTTTAGTCGTTTCCTAATATAACAGAGTTGTAAAGTAAATATTTGTCTTTAAAATGTTATTGTTTGAATTAAGCTAATTATACTCGAATTGTTTATTAATAAGCTTTAATTACTAAATTTTATTTAAAAAAAGGGCCGTTCAGGAAATTATTTGTTAAGACTGTTTTGATTAAAACTGTTTGTTGGTTTTTAAAAAAAATGTATTAAACTGTACTCGAAAATATATTTTATAGTATACACATTTTACAAAACACCACATGGGAGTATAAAACATATTATTATAACAGTATTTTTGTAACAATTGTACTAAAACAAAGTTTATTGTATTTTACTTCTAAAATAATACCGAATTTATTTCGAAATTTGTGAACTTCTAATCAAATTAGGTGTTTTACAGTTCACATATTTTAATGAGGACCATCCGAGAGTGTAATTATTCTTACCAATAAATTTTATGAATCAGTAATTCGTGTTACTGTTACTTTAACTGTGTAAAAGGTGATTTAAACACAATAAAACATGATTATTTAACCTCCCCAAGTCAGCCTTTGGACGTGATCAGTCTTTCGCTTGGAACTCTTGATGAATCCCAAAAATTCTAATTCAGACACAGCCTGAGTAAAACGAGCTCTATCGCTGTTATTAAGGAACATATTGTTATTTTTAAGGGTAACAACAAATAATATTTAGTGTTAAAAGGATACTGCATTTCGGGTCTAACGACCATTTGCTCATCTCCCATATAAACTTCCGCATCTACAATACTAACAAACGATTGAAGCCAATCGTACAAATTAATCATTTTGCCATATTCCAAGTGAAGTTTATAAGCAACGCAAACATCTGGCATGGTAGGTTTGATGGACCCGATATTTGACAGTTTACAGCAATCGCACTGAAAATTACAAAAGTTGACCATTTTCAAAAGGCGTATTTAAAAAAATATACCGTTAAGTAAAAGTGGGGATCGTTTAGAGCGTGATGTATGGCAGATCTGTGAGAACCGACTATGTAATTTTTGATGGATATGTTGTTGTAGAAAAATATTTCATGCAAAAAGTTTGATTCAGGTTCCATTAAATAGTGTTCAAAAGCTCCCGAAAGCGTCTTAACAATTTCCTCTCGCAGGTGTTCGTATTTATTCAAAGCTTTAGTCGGAGTTTTAGCCAATTCGTGAAGCATCTGCAATAGAATAACAGTTAATTTTAATTCGACTTTTGCGCAACTTTAAAAATATACTTCTTTAAATTGCCACCTGTTGGAAGACTTTAATTGCACAGATTTATCTCCTGGTTTGCTTTGCTCTTCTGGCATTTTGTATTCATCGATGTTGTTGAGATAATCAATGTATTGTTTAAGGGATGATAGCAAATCATCATCGATGAAATCAATAGGTTCTAGTACATCAATTATCTTTGATAACTTTCTAGTAAGTTCGTCTTTCGATTGAAAGTTAAGAAGCTTCATACATTCTTTGTAATCAGTTGTCTTTGTGACATTTTCAGAGGTCGCAATAGCGTATAATACTCTCATCTGGAAGAAAAATCTTGTATTTTTATATAAAACGTATGTAACTATAATTCTTACCTGTTTACCTAAAGGAGCTTTGGGCAAATCCTCAACGAGTACCAACAAGCACTTTAAAAATACATGAAAAGTTTTGATGTAAACCTGCGTTCTACGAATTTCTTTGCGTACTATTTTACCTAAATACTCATCATCTAGCACCATTTTTATTTGCTTGTCTTGTCCTTCATTTTCCAGGAACTTTTTGAACGATGGCAACTGCCACAACATTTTCAAATCATCATGGGACAGTTCCTTAATGGCGCTTTTCACAACATCCGGCTCGAGGCTGCACAAAGTCATTATATTTCCCCGAGCAAAATGATCTGCCACAGCGAACTGAAAAATAAGAAGCTACAATAAATCAGTTTACAAGCAGCTTGGAGTTACTTCGTACTTTTATGTTCTGTATGAAGTTGTTCACCGACAAATCGTAGAACAGAAACAAATCTGAGAACAAATTGAAAACGTTACCGCCTAGTTGAAACGGACATTTGAAAAAAACCTCTTCCAATATGATGTTCAGGTATTCGACTGAGCTTTGAGAATGGAAAACTTTCACTCTAATTTTCGAAAATACTTTGTACGACAAAGATTTGTGCAAAGTGTTGATGTTTGTAGCGATGCCGAACACTAGTACAAATGGCAGATATTTAATGTAGCAGCTTATTATTATTATGAATTTCTTTAGTATCTCTATGTTGAAGCCCTCGAAGTCAGGTATTATTATTACGAGAGGTTTTTTCTTTTCTGCTTTTTTATACTTGTTCTCGTACCAACATTGGAGATAGGGAAGGGTCAGCAGGTTCTTTTTTATTTGCTTGTGTTGCGATTCATCTTCTAGATCCTGAAAAAATTTAAGCTCTCTTAATTTAATGTAAATATTCAATTACTTTTGTATGTGATTGGGGAAGTTAGGACAAGAGAAATAGTAGTTTGAAATAGCCTATTCGAAAAGACAAAACACAAAAAAATAACCCCTTAACTCCACCCGTAATGAACCTACATCTTCACATTCGATGTCTTCAATGACAAATTGTTTGATCAAATTTTCTATTAAATTTTTAATACTTTGGCCGTCTTCGCTTTGTAAATAGGCCACATGAGGAGTCGTGGTTTTCTTGAGTTGACTGGAGAGATTTTCGAATTGTGTCATGTGGTCCGGCATATTTATACCGGTGAAGAAAGCAGCTGTTGGGATTTCTTCGTTTTCACATTGACAGGTACTTGATTTAATGAAGTCCAGCAAGTTGATCAGTACCGATGAAAAGATCGTATCATTAAGTTCCTAAAAAGACACCATTATATAAAAAGTAGGCTATGCAGCTAGTGAAATAAATGAAATTACTTGTCAATTTTGACATGCAAAGGTGACAGTAGCGAGAAATATGTTCGATTTATTAATAAATTAAGTTAATTAGTACTTACTTGAATTTTAGTTTGGATATCCTCCCATAACGTAGAATAATACGAGTACCAGGCATTGGATGAAAATAGGGTATTTTCTACCGGCTTTCGTTTACTTCTGGATTTGCTGGACTTTCTCGAAGGCGGTTTAAAATTATTTTTGAATACAAATACACCCTATAAAGAAATGTAACAATTAATTGATGAATTATTTAAAAATAGGTTAGGACAAATAAAATGACTTACTTTGGACACAGACGATGCATGATCGTCTTCCATACTTTCTGTTTCCACTAATTAATGTTCAAAAAATGTATTATTATGTAACACGAATGGAAAATGAGTAAGAATACACAAAAAAGTAACAGTATTATTGTTGAAAAGTTTCCCGCCATATAATTAGTTTTTGACATTAAAGTCAAATGTCAAATGTTAGTCAAAATTGTCCAAATAAGAAGAACAAAACATTTTTGGATATCAAAAAAGAAGAATCAATATTTCTGTGAATCCCGACTAGATATAATTAAAACATTTTATGCATAGTTGATAAATATTTTTCTTTTTCTCCTTCTTCATATGTTAAACTTCTATCTTCTATGGTCTCTTGCACAGGATTCATCCAGTCTCCTGTTTGCTTTATATCTGATCTATATGCTTTATATACACAAGTTACAAATTATGCAAGGATTAAAGAAAAGGACGTTTAACTAGCTTTTTCTCTTTCATATCGTTAATTAGTATTTGTGAAACACTGTGGAAACAATATAGCCCCTTTTTAAAGTTAAAGTTGCGTCTATAAATTGATATTTTTATATTTTTTATTGAGTAACTATGGATGTTTTTAACATTATTCAATTACTTAGAGACTCTTAAAATACGTGTTTAAAGTTAAAAAGGGGTGCTGAATACGGGCCTGTATATTTAAATGATTATTTAAAAACATATATTGGCAAAATCCTCAACAAATAGAGCTAATATGAAATGTTTCTGGAATATCATGTGTTCATTGGAATATATGTGATTAAAGAGAAATATTTTACTCTAACAGTAAATTAAATAATGCTCAAACCTCTGTGGGAAAACGCACTTTCCACCTTGGCATATAATCCAGATTAATTAAAATCTTGCAATCGACCTGAAAATTGAACGCTGACAACTAAGTATAACTGGGAATTGCTCAGTTTAAATTACTTTACTGAGCGTTGGTAATTACTGAGCATTGTAAATTGTCTGAATTCCCGCGATATTCGCGATAATCTGCTGGATTATTGTTTTCCGATGTTTCGATAAATTAACATTACCGGAATAGAATGGAATTTCCACTAGAATACATCCGAATGGGTAGTTTTAGCAATAAAAGCTAGCGTTACTCGCCATCTCGTTTCTACCAATTCGTTTTAGGTATAGTACAGGAAATTTTGTAGATGCTTTTTAAAGCAAATTAAATATTTTTTGTCAAATAACATTTTTATTTTGAGAAAATGGTGTATTAGTTTATTTTCCAGTAACTTCTCAAAACTCTTATGTTGAAAAAATCACGATTTATTATAGAGCATATCAAATACAAATTTTACTGCAAATAATTGTAATAGGATCAGTTCTGACTATGCTTCATTATAATAAAATATATCGATTTGTAACATGATTTTACCCTTAACAACTAACACAGTATATTATTCAGAAATTGTGCTATATCTGGATCACCATCAAAACCTTTTTGTTATACACTTTTATTGGCTTGGCATGGATTCATAAACCGCGAATTACGACTGATAATATTGCCAAAATCACCCGTTAAAAAGTTTGATCGACTTCTAATGCGTTGTTCGCGAACAAATTGCATTTAAATTCATTGACGATCAATCAGATGCGCATATCATAAACACAATAATAGCGTTATTGTTAATTACACACATGCTTTGGCATACATGCAGGCGCAGGCAAAGGAAATAAGCGTCGGGCGTCGGGGCGCAAATCCAATCACCGAATGAACAATAAAGCGTGTAGCTTGAATACATTATTGTTTTGTATAGTTGCAGTTTTGGCAAAGCTTCATTTATGTTTTCTACGTGACCCGATATAAAAGAGCCATTATACAGTCTCTAAAACTGTGAGTGCCCGAGGTTGTGTTTTTTTCTGAAAGGAAACCAAGTTTTGATTGCGTTTTTTCCAATTAAGCGGAAAAGTTAAGCGACAAACTCTTTATTGCTGTTTAATAATGAAGCAGTTTAAAACCCAAACTTTTAGAATCAATTTTTTCGAGACCCGCCTAAATAGCACAATACAAAACTGCCCAAGACAAACTAGCCTAAATGTATGTAAATATTGCCCAAATATTTATAATGCAATAATAAACTTCTAGTTACATTATTAAGTGAGATATAGATTATACCTACATGTGAACAGTTTTCCAAAATATATTAAAAAAAATAACAACTTCCATCATTGCTTTCTTTGATATTTCTTATTTGATTGTATTTAATGCAATAGTTTATATAATCCGTTTAATTTTAATCCTGATGCCTGATAAAATATAACGACTGATATATTGTCCTCAAAAATAGCTCGACAAATTGATGATTTGTGATGATAATTCTTGGAGATACTGTCACAAGTTTTTTCTCCTATAAGCTATTTTGTCTTGGGCGATTTTAGCTTTGGGCTATTTTGTCTTGGGCTGTTTTGTCTTGGGCTGTTTTGTCTTGGGCTGTTTTGACGGGGCACCAGTTTTTCTAATATTAACACCGACGATGTGAAAATGCAACTGGAAATTGCGTTATTTGCAAAATTTAAGACCTCTTCCATTATTTTTCTAATAATCGTGTATACCATAACCATATATTGACGTAAATATGATAGCCACACCTGTTAAAGTGTTTATAACATACAATGACCCATTTAACTTAATTGAAGCACGCATTACATGCATAATATCCCTTTTAGTCCATAACAGCTTCATAATAAAAACATCTATTTAATTTTTAATTTGATAGTATCTAAAAACGACAGAAATATCTCGACAAAATAAATGTCGTGAACTAAATGATCACAAAGATTCGGTAACATCGCGGGAATGGCTTTGTTTACGAAGAACTTCTTACTCTAATTACCTTTTAAATCTTAGGGAAACAATTTGCTTACCATTGGAATTATCGATTCTACGTAAACTTTGTGAATTTTCGTAAAAACAACGAGAGTAAAGTAAAATATTTCAACAAGAGATCTTTTAATTAACGCAAATAATTGGAGTTATGTACAGGGTGGCCAAATAAGGATGGCTCTCGGCCATATCTCGCAAACTAATTGTCATAGAGACTTGCGGTAAAAAATCTTATGACTAAATTGGCAAAAAGAAAATTCTGGAAATAATTTTCAGGTCTCTAAAATGGCCGCTAGGGGGAGTATCCGCCATCTTGATTTTCAAAAGTCATTTTTTCCAAAATTTTCCTAAATAAAGGTATCAAAAATGTGTTTTATTTTGATAGTTAAGATAATTTCGATTATTTTTTGTTATATATTTTTGACTCTATCTTTTAAAATAAAGTGGTGGGGGTGGTTTGAATATTTTGACCTTATACCATTTACATTATAACTCTATACTACATTGTAACTCTATACTTTTAAGTTAATTATAACTTTTTTTGTTAAATTTCATTATTTATTTTGGGCAAAAATACGAGTCATTACTATAGTACCTACATTTGTAGTTTCTCAAGCTACATTCGTCTTCCATTATCTATCATATTTCCCATCGGAAATTTCCCTCAAACTTCTCCTAAAACCCGTCTGCCGAGCCAGACGAATACGCCCCTGCGGAGCAATTCCACATCAGCATTCCGCCGGTTTTTAATTCGAGCAAACATCAACTCCATTTATATGCCCGGTAAGTGCATCCAGCGTTCGAGATGAAACAAATAAACGCGAAAAACAATAAAGCGAATGCATCCGGGCCTCGTCCATGCGGTTCAATCAACTTCGCGATCCCTTAGAGCGTCCCGTTGTGCGCCTGGCCGTCGAGGAACGGAGGGCGTCGGGACGCGGACGCCGCCGCTCCGGACCAAAACAGTGCGTCTTCGCGGGCTGCTCCATGTAGACGCTGTGGTGAGACATCCATCAGGGTTCCCGACGAGTTCGCGCTCCCGCTTCGCTCGAGCCGAAGCCGTTCAACAGGTTATTAATCCCGTTCCGAATTGTTAAGGTAGGAGAGCGGATATTTTTTTCCCGGATGAATGGAAAGGTGGAATTTGTTTTTTTTTTGAGAGGGAGATTGAGCACACATTTTTGAATGTTAATTGACTACGATCTTTTATTGGTGTTTTTTATCTCGAGAAAATTGAAGACTAGAGAGAAAATGCGGGGATATAAAATTTGAAACTGTGTACAAAACAACTTTCATATTTCTCGTTTGTTGGAAATTAATTGATGCTTTTAAAATTAATTGAATTCTTGTTGTGATTAAATTTATTAAATAGACCGTAATGCTATTTAAATCAATGAAAAGAAGCCTTAGTTAATTGCCATTTCCTTGAAATAAAATTGGTATCAATTTCACAATTACCAGTTGATCTTCATATTTAGAGAACTCTTCTTTTTATCAATGCAGTTTTTATCAATGACTTTGAATTGCACTTGAATTACTAATGAAATTTTTAATTACTACATCGCATTTTGCGAGACTCTTTCTATTAAAAAAGTGATTTTTTTAGAAAGATTTTTTACAAAGTTACCTTCTTAATCTAATATTGTTTGTTACCCTATTATAAACTGCTCCACAAAAGTTAAGGAAGTTCGAAAATTTCGCGATTATTTTAAAAGTTACAGACTTTTTAAGATCACCAAATTTTCAAATATACGAAATTAAATGTTTTCTCTCATATCTGAGTGGATTTTTTGCCCCTTCCTCTACAACTCACACTAAATTTGGCGATCAAAAAACCTGCAACTTTGAAATTAATCTCAATATTTGTGAACTTCCTTAACTTTTGTGGAGCAGTATATTTGAACACATAACAAAATATGCCTCAATTCTTTGTAATCTAACAGCACTAATCTCCACTTAGCGAAATTAGCAGTTATTTGCTAAAAGAACGCGTGGAATGTGATATTTTCCTTATACTATATTCCTATACTGTCCTTATACTATTCCTGTCACTATACTATCTCTAAAAAGTCCCCATATTCTCCCCTATACTATCTTTATCACTATCCATCATCCCTATACTGTCAATAGAAAACAATTCTATTGGGAAATGAACTGAAATGCTCGGCAACTGAGCATT